ATCCTTATAACAGGGATCTCTCACTTCGTTATCGAGCTCACATTAATGTTGAATGGTGTAATCATACAGGATCTATTAAGTATTTATTTAAGTACATTAATAAAGGACAAGATCGTTGTACTGTAGCTGTAGAGAATCCAGTGAAGGCTAAACAAAAAAGGAGCATAAAGTGACAAAACGAAATTAAGGATTTCTTCAACTGCAGGTATTATTATTTTGCCTATGTTAGAGTTTAAATGCCCGGTATTATTTTCAGACTTGGTAAATTGTGTATAAATATTAAATATACCTAAATATGCTTTTATGAATATTTTTGTGAATCTTTACAGATATGTATCCGCATATGAAGGAGGATGGAAAATTTTTAAGTTCCCTATACATTATAGATCAGTACCTGTTGAGAGGATACAATTCCACCTTCTAGGAAAATAGATTGTCATTTTTAAAGATGATGACACCTATGAAAAAGTTACCAGTCGCGTTCTTATTCGAGATACTTATTTCATGGGTTAGTTTGAACTAAACAAAGTCAGTGCTTGACTCTAGCTTAAATCCCAACACGGTTTATTTGGAATAAAAAAGAGCGGAAGTTAACTGAGAGAAAGAAACGATTCAGTATTGGAAGAATCAACTATGCTCCACGAAAGATTGAACAGGCATATTATTTGCGTGTCTTGCTGAATATTGTAAGAGGTCCAACATGTGTCGAGGATATCAGATCTTTTAATAATGTTCAGTATTCGTCATACAAAGATTGTTGCTTTTCTCGGGGTTTGTTAGAAGATGATCAAGAATACACTGACGATATCGTTCGGACAAGTTTTACAGTTTCAGCATCATATATGCGGCAATGTTTTGTGATCATGCTTATGTCAAATACTCTGTCTGAGCCAGAAGTTGTTTGCGAAAACACTTGGGAATTTCTATCTGAAGACAATGAGTGTCGACGTAGAAAACTCTTAAATATACCAGGTACCTTTACTCTTCCAATTTATTATGTAGATTTTTTGTTTAACAATATAACTCATGTAGTTCCCCTCTGTAACAAGCAATCTCTCTTTGATAATGTAGATTTATGTTTGAGTGAGGAGGAGATTAAACAACTTACACTACAAGAGATTGAGAAGATTTTGAAAAGGAATGGTACTTCTCTGGAGGCATGGGAATCTATGCCAAAACCGGTATCTGATTTTACACAACAAGAGAATGTCTTGATAATGGACGAGCTTTCATATGGCAGAGAGTGGTTAAAGGCTAATCATGATCGAGACTTCCCAAAAATGACAGATGAACAAAGAGAAATTTATGATGATGTTCTTAGTGCAGTTTTGGAAAAGAAAGGAGGTGTGTTTTTTGTGTATGGCTTTGGCGGAACTGGAAAAAAAAAATTTGTGGAGCTTGATCTCTGCTGCTGTTAGATACAGAGACGAAAATATGTTTAAATGTTGCATCAAGTGGGATAGCTTCGCTATTTCTACCTGGGGGAAGGACAACACATTCTAAATTTGGAATACCAATCAATCCAGATGAATTTTCGACCTGCACACTCACTCACGGATCTGATCAATCAAATTTGATTAAAGCAGCTTCTAAGATCATCTGGGACTAAGCACCAATGATGAGCAAGCACTGCTTTGAAGCGTTGGATAGGAGTATGGCCGACATTGTCGGGAATAAGGATAATTTTCATGAAGCAGGAAGGGCTGAAATCGTTTTGGCATCTCTAAATTCCTGTTATCTATGGAAACATGTGAAGGTTATGAGGCTAACAAAGAACATGAGGCTACTGTCAAACGTTCTCTCTCCTGAAGAAGCGAAAGAGTTACATGAGTTTTCACAGTGGATATTAGATGTTGGAGATGGAAATATTGGTGATGCTAACGATGGGGAGGCTCTAATCACCATTCCAGATGAGTTTCTTATTCTTGATGCGGATGATCCAATCAAGTCTATTAGCAAAGCTGTATATGGAGATGTTACGTTTCTGCAACATAATAGAGAGCCTACATTTTTTCAAGAAAGAGCAATATTATGTCCAACTAACGACGATGTGGACAAGATTAGTCAGCACATGTTGGATAATCTTCCTGGTTTGTTACTAAAATTGATGGTTTGTTACTAATTAACGCAAGTATAAGTATACTTATTTAGTCTTTAACTTTTTACAGGTGAGGAAAGGATCTACTTGAGCTCTGATTCTATAGATCCTTCAGATAATTTCTCGGTTAATGACCAAGCTCTGACTCCTGATTTTTTAAACAAAATCAAATTTTCAGGATTACCAAATCATAGTCTTCGTTTGAAATTGGCTGTCATGTGATGTTGCTAAGAAACATATAACCTAGTGGCGAATTAATGAATGGGAATCGACTTCAGATTACAGAGATGTATGATCACATTATAAAGGCGAAAGTAATAACTGGAGACAAGGTTGGTCGAACTGTTCTTCATCCTAGACTTGCTATTACACCTTCTGATAAGAAGTTACCATTCAAGATGAGGAGGAGGCAACTTCCCATTGCTGTGGAGTTTGCCATTACAATTAATAAGAGTTAGGGCCAATCACTCTCAGAAGTTGGTATTTATCTGCCTAGACCTGTGTTTTCACATGGACAACTCTATGTTGCTATTTCTAGAGTTACATCTAAAAGAGGGTTGAAGATTTTGATATTGGACGATCAAGGCAAGCCTCAGAAACAAACAACTAATGTTGTTTTCAAAGAGATTTTCCAGAATCTCTGATTTTCTATTTAGTTTGTTGTTTTCGATTTCTGAAACTATCTATTTTTAGCATACGCAGTGTTTGACTTTCATCTACTTTTCAAATAATGGAGGAGACGTTTTCTAATTTCACTCAAAGCATTCAAACATTACTCCACATCAAATAATCTTCCGGTTCATTCCTAACTACCGATAAAGTTCCATACCTATTGTCTAGAGGTAATATCAATATATTAAAACAACTTACTTTTCTTTATGACACATGTTCTGGCTATTTGCAAGTGACCCTGTTGTTTTATTTATCTACCTCATCATTGATCGAGCCTAGCAAAAAAAAAAGCAAAAACAATTACCATAAGATGACTGTATAATAAAAAAAATTATGTATCATATAGTAAGGTTCCATAATGTTATATAAGATGATGCGTCATTTAAAAGTGTTGTACTTATCTGCTGATTGTCTGACTTCGCGCCATGTTGGAGATGATGTCAAAAGGAAGCTCCATTTTATATGTAGCATCAACCTGTAATATGTTTCATGTTAAATCCATTTTAATATACACACAGAATATTTAAATATTTTTCAACATAAAATTATCCTGTAATAAGCGACATAGAAACGAAGATTCGGGTACAGAAAAAAAAACAGTAAAAAAATTATTTAATAATTTATCACAAATTTACATGTTTTGTCGGAGTTCTCGTGAGATCTTCTTAGAACACATCAGAAAGTTTTTTCTCGGAGTTCTCAAATCTTCTTCCAACCATCACAAAGTATATAAATCTGGTCGATGTGTTGTTAAATTTGATCGGAAACAACATGCAGACAAGATCTACAATTTTTTTCATGTTAGGTCCCGTTTTTAGAAAAGAACATATTTAAAAATGAAAAGTCTATCTATGTATAAAGAATAAATAAGGAACTAGAAGATTCACCTGTGTAGATCGGAAAGGGACGATTCGATCGCCATTGGAGAGAATTGTTCTTTTTTTTAATTGTCTATTTGTTTCTTGACAAAAAGGAAGTTTATCATCTGAAGTCGGCAACAACTTGATACGTAATGGACTTGGGAGAACTTTTACAATTAGAAACCACCACCAAAATATTTAATCAAAGGCTTGATGGGTTTAAACCCACTACACAAAACAAATAGTTACAAATATATTAAAGCAAAAGTCTATCTATAAAAACTCTAACTATACAAAATACATTATGACCAAGAAATCCAAAAAATAGTCATATTAACAATGAAACCCAAAAATATATCTAAACATCTTTTAATACCCAAAATTTTATTTGAAATCTTACCCAGAAAAACCGAAAAATATCCAAAGTTGTATTTAAATACCCAAAATATTTTCAGTAATTAATATTCTATTCTGAACAGAAAACTATAACCAAAAACACAAACTTATAAGTAGAAAAATATATGTAATAGATAAAATTCCAAAATTTATTCATAATTCAATTAAAAAAAAACCGCGCTTTTGAAGCGCCGGGTCAAAATCTAGTATAGATTTAAAATATATTCTTTTCAAAAAAAATATTATTATTAGAGTAAATCACTACAAAAAAAAACATTAAATTATAAGGCATTATGCTCCTACGAATAGAATATACTATTTGTTCTCATCTCCATCCTATATATACAGAGTTATTCCGCAAGGGTTTTAGCTACCGAGTAAACGAGTCTTTCAAGACCCTTGTTGGTAAGCAATTGGTTTCTAGTTATATTTCATTTCTATTTTTCCAAATATTTGTTTGCATGCGACTATCAGATTTTTCAACACGGAAACTAATATGTCCGATGATTCATGAATGTGGCATGATAGAAACCATGGCACACGATCTTTCTGTGTATAATCTCTTTAATCGCAATATTTTTAGCTTAAGACTCGAATCCCTAATTTTTGTTTGTTTGTTTAGCTTAGTGATAGTTATTTGTATTTTCAAAAACTTATATTACTTCCAAATGTTTCTCCAACTAGATATTCTTGTTACAACCTTCTCTATATAATAATGACAATTTTTCACTTGTTTGTNCACGATCTTTCTGTGTATAATCTCTTTAATCGCAATATTTTTAGCTTAAGACTCGAATCCCTAATTTTTGTTTGTTTGTTTAGCTTAGTGATAGTTATTTGTATTTTCAAAAACTTATATTACTTCCAAATGTTTCTCCAACTAGATATTCTTGTTACAACCTTCTCTATATAATAATGACAATTTTTCACTTGTTTGTGTTTTCAGAGACCACAAAACTGAGAAAAAACTCGACATGGCTAACAAAGAACAAAGCAGCATTTTGGGAGCTCTTGACAAAGCAAAGACTCAATGGTATCACGTCACGACGGTCATAATCTCTGGTATGGGTTTCTTTACGGACTCATACGATCTCTTTGTGATCTCTCTCATCACGAAGCTGCTCGGCCGGATCTACTATCAGAAACCTGGCTCCTCTTCTCCGGGAAGCCTCCCTGACGGCATCTCTGCCACAGTGAGTGGTGTGGCCTTTGCCGGAACGTTTCTCGGACAGATTTTCTTCGGGTGTCTAGGAGACAAGCTTGGCCGTAAGAGCGTCTATGGCTTGACTCTTGTGATTATGACCGTATGCTCAATTTGCTCTGGTCTTTCCTTTAGCACCGACGCGAGATCTGTCATGACAACGCTATGCTTCTTCCGCTTCTGGCTCGGTTTTGGGATCGGTGGTGACTATCCTCTATCCGCTACCATCATGTCTGAGTATGCCAACAAACGTACACGTGGTTCGTTTATAGCAGCGGTTTTTGGTATGCAAGGGATTGGGATCTTGGCGGCAGGAGGTGTTTCGCTACTTGTCTCGTACATTTTTGAGCTTCACTTCCCGTCTCCAGCCTATATGGTCGACGGGGCCGCCTCCACTGTCCCGCAGGCGGATTACGTATGGAGGATCATCCTGATGTTAGGAGCTATACCGGCTCTCCTGACTTACTACTGGCGTGTGAAGATGCCTGAAACAGCTCGTTACACTTCTCTTGTTGCCAAGGACTCGGAGAAAGCGGCTTCGGATATGGCTAAGGTTCTCAACGTAGATATTGAAGCCTCTTCCGCAGAGCATGACCAAGCTAGGGTTTCTTCAGACGAGTATGGTTTATTCTCCTCCAAATTCCTCCGCAACCACGGGCTTCACCTACTTGGAACAACCACCACATGGTTCCTCCTTGACATTGCTTTCTACAGCCAAAACCTCTTCCAGAAAGATATCTTCACTACCATTGGTTGGTTACCGCCGCCTAAAACCATGAACGCAATCCAAGAGCTCTTCATGATCGCTAAGGCACAAAGCTTGATCGCTCTTTGCGGTACCGTTCCTGGTTACTTTGTCACCGTAGCTACCATAGACTGGATCGGACGGTTCTGGATTCAGGTCATTGGATTCTTCATGATGATGGTTTGCTTGACTTGTCTAGCCATACCGTACCACCATTGGACTTTACCGGATAACCGAATTGGTTTCGTTGTTCTCTACTCTCTCACTTTTTTCTTCTGCAATTTCGGACCTAACGCAACTACTTTCATTGTCCCTGCTGAGATTTTTCCGGCAAGGCTTAGGTCGACTTGCCATGGGATCTCGGCGGCTTCCGGTAAATCCGGTGCGATAGTTGGTTCTTTTGGTTTTGCTGCTTTGGTGAAAGCTGTTGGGATGAGGAAAACGTTACTGATCATGGCTGGAATTAGTTTTGCTGGCCTAATGTTGACTGTTTTTNTTTTTTTTTTTTTTTTTTTAATTACTTTTTCTATAGTTCGTTTTTGCTTAGATTTTCAATAAGTGGTACTCTGTTATGGTTTCTTAAATCAGATTTTCTTATAATTTATAAGAAATATTTGTTTTGAACAAAATGAATGGAAAAAAAAATTGAACAACTTTTCATTTACAGAATTGAACTGACAAGGAAAACTGAATAAGGAGGAACAAATGTAGAGAAAGAATTGAGAATAAATGGTTAACATAAATGGTAAACAAAAATATGAACAAATGTTTTCAGAATTTATTGTATACAAATTAGCATCCAAACATACGTACAATGAAACTATGAAGCTTTAAACTTATAATACAAGTTAACTCAATGGTATATCTATGATGGTGCTCACTACTAGTAGTGCACTTTTCCTCAAAGAAAATATAAAGCATAAATCTTTAAATCTTCTTCTGTTAGTCTATGTATTCTAGGCAGCAACTGAATTTGACTATTTATAGAGTTACTGGGATAATCATGAGTTGAAGATAATAATTCATTATCAGCGCATGAGTATGGAAAAATCACCTAATATAATATTATTCAATGTATAAATCGCCTTGTCACTGTTATAAGAGAAAATATTGCTAATTCAATAAAAATAAATTAGTACTTTTCAGAAAAAGAAGATAATCAGCTACACAGTAAAAATTCCATAAACTAAGAATGTTAAGATTATGGTATTTTGTTAATTTATAAAGTTATTACTTTACAAAAGTTGTTTTTTTTATTTTATATTTAATTTTTTTCTAAATAAGAAAACTATTTGATTTTTGTGCATATACATTAATTAAAATTTTTGAAATTCATTATTCATATTATTTTAGTTATATTAATTGGAGTATATATAAAATATGTTTCATATAATTTTAAAATGTTGTTTTAGATGATTGTAAGTGAATTGGAGAATTTGGTGAGATTTCTTTAAACCATAAACTATATAAAATGTGTATATATATAAATTATTAATTCATAATTATAATGGAACCATATATTTACACAAAATTGTAAAAGATTATTATTTTATTATTTTATCAATTTACGCTATATTTTGAAACCGTACAAATTGGGACTAGAAAAATGTATTAATTTATGGTGTCTATTAATTTATCGAGTTAATTTATAGAGTTTCTACTGAATAGATATGATGTTGTTAGTCTTCTTTATTTTTTCTGACAACAACATAAACTAAAATATCATGTATGCATGGATCAGAGAGCCAAATCGGAGGCATATAATCGACATAGAACATAGCAGAAGGAGAACATCGAGCACCGCTTGCAAGCTTTTCCGCAACTAAATTATGCGCCCTTGAAATATGTCGGATCTTGAAGGTGGGAAAGAATGTCTTACTGCGTCGAAATTCCTCCAAATGTGTAGTAAAGGCTGGCCATTCTTCGGGTGAGGAAACCATCGTCACCAACTGAGAATAGCCTGTTGCGAAAACTACGTCTGAGAAGTTGAGGGTCTTCACACAATCTATAAAACGGATAAGCTTCTTCGGAGATTCATTTCTCCCATCATCTTCTCTGCTGTTCCATTAGTTCTACAAAATCAACCCTGTCCAAGAGCACTTTTCTTGTGCCCTCCAGGAACGGTCAATAAAACATACTCTATATTGCGTTGACAACGACCAATCCGAAGACAAGAGATCTGCATGGTTTCGTTCCGGTATTGTAAGTTGAGCTTCCATCCAAACCTCACTTTCAACTTCCGTAGTTCGTAAAATCTTTTGTGGATTTCCATTCTTATTTGTATAGATCTTATTATTCCTATTCTTCCAAATATACCATAAAACCCAGAAAAAGAACTGAAATCATGATCTTTCGGTAATCTCCAAAAGAGACGATCCATATTAGTAAGAACCGAAGATGTCGGGAAAATGCCAATGGGGGTAGGGACTTTCAACAACGCCCCGGTTTGAAGAGTGGGAGGACATTTAAACAGAACATGATTAATAGATTCTTCCTCAGCCCCACATATACTACATCTTCGATCACACTCGATGCCTCTTGATCTAAGATTTTTGGTAACCGGTATAGTTCCTTTTATGACTTGCCAAATGAAAAGTTTCAACTTAGGTGGATGTTTAAGCTTCCTTGTGTAGCTTAATAGAGGATGGAAATTCAGTCCATATGTTACCACTTGTTGTTCCTTATCTGGGTATAAAGACTTTGTCTTATAATCTGATTTAACAGTATACTTACCATAATCTGTAAACACCCAACTGTAGGAATCTGGTCTATTCAACCGACTAATAGTGAAGCCTTTAATGATTTTAACACCATCCAGATGTATGTATGCATTAAGCAGATATACATTCCATGACAATTTAACCGGGTTTATAAGACGTTCCACCTTTAAGGAATCATTTAAAAACTGAGGTGAAATTTTTGGAGTTGCTGACCTCGGGCGAGGCGGAGGAATCCAATGATCACTCCACACTAAAATGGATCGGCCGTTTCCCACTCTTTTGATTAGTCTAACTAGAGATCTAGCTGAACAGATATTTCTCCAACCATAAGATGGTGAATAAGATCTGTGAGGATCCAATCGATCCATTTTCCGAAAGTATTGTCCTTTAAAACTTTTTGAAAACAGGCAGTTGGGTTTATCTTTAAACGCAATAAGTGCTTTGCCAATGGGGCAGTATTAAAATCTTGAAGATCACAAAAACTTAGGCCAACTTCATCCTTATGTTTCCCATGAAAGCCAATGAATCCCTCTTTTATTTACACTACCACCCCACCAGAAATGAGCAGTAGCACCTATAACTGTCTTCGTAATTGTCTTGGGTAGACGGTAACAAGACATAACATGATTCGGCATTGCAGATGCCACTGATTTAATCATAACTTCCTTGCCTCCTTTAGTGAGGTATCATACTGTCCAACTATTAACCTTATGATTAATCCTTTAATTCACCTATCCATAAACCTGAACCTTTGATCCCCCTAAACTCTCCGGTACACCCAAATAATTACCCATACCACCCATGTGATGAGGCCATCCAAGTAGAGGTCCCGTGATCAGGCGAGGCCCAACGACCAGGAGTGGACCCAGGGCACTACGAGAGGGTTTCTCCAAAGCAGTTCAGCAAATCCTTGATCAAGACGAGCAAACCGGCCAGATGCAACTGCTGATTGAAGACATGGTACAATTGAAGATCCAAGACCAGACCGGCCCAACGGAGGTTCAAGAATCAGCCGGTCCAATCCAATTCCGACCACTCAGCCAGAACCAAGTCGGTTACACCATCTCCACATCCGAACTCGGTCCAGATTCCACGCTCCACTCATTCCATCAACCCATTCCGGGTACTGAGAACTAGCCGACCACCACGGGAGTAGTATGCGCTGTACTCTTTTTCCTCATCAGGTTTTGTCCCACAGGGTTTTCTTGGTAAGGTTTTAACGAGGCAGCACGCAAGCATATTAAGGCATTCTCAATCCGCAAACCAGCTTCTGGTTTATTTTAATTCCATTTTCCTTTGGTTTATTTTGGTTAAGACTATTGGGCAATTGTTGGCCTTTTTATTTTAAGTTCCTTTTGTCTAGGCCTTTTTAACATTTGTGGTCCAACAAGGGTTAGCCTATAAAACCCTTAGTGGCTGGCGATTTTTGGCCTAAGTCTTTTATGAAATTTCTTTTGCTTCCAGCAAACAAAAACCCTAAGTCTTTCTATTGTGTGAAGCAAGAGAGAGCAGTCACCGGATCTTATCAAACTCCTCCTCCATCCGAGTTTGTGGCGATCCTTCTACTCCCCTCCATCCATCGATTTGCCTTGAGAGTGACACACATCCAGCAAGACAAATCCCACCTCTGTTCACCACCCATCCACTGTTCTTGTTGAGAGCCATACAGCCAGCAACAAGAATCCATACATCCATCTCTATCCTTGTCTTTTTATTTAGTTCTTTTCATTTGTTCTTGAGTTTTAATAAATCTGAAAACTTATAAAAATCCATTGCTTCTGTTTCTTATCATTTGTTCTTACTTTTACAAGTTGTTTAGTTTCAGTTTATAAAAGAAAAACTTATAAAAACTACTTCCTTGCAACAGGTACCAATCGCCCCTCTCACCCGGCCGTATTGCCTAGCTGGCTCCTTGTTCACCCGACCACCACCATCTTGCTGAGACCATCCGACCATCACTTGCATACTCTGACATCTGGGATGTATCATTTTGGTATCAGACCTCAAAGCTCCTGACCCCCACGGTTGCATCTGTTCCCTTTGTTATTTTCTCTTCGGTTTTGTTCTTGTAGTTCTTTTTGTTGCATCAAAAATTTTTTTATTAGCTCTTGCATTTTGTGTTGCTGTTCTTGGCGAGTTCTTGAGAGTTCATCTCAGGATTCCCTAGATCATTTTCGTGGCCCAAAAGTTTTGCAAACTTGTTCCTTCCATATTTGGAGATCTAGGAATCAAGTGGCAATAACTATTGGCCGAAAATAGCAAACATCATTAATTCTAGGATATTTTGCATCTATTTTTTGACTTGGATAGCAATTCTTTTAGAATCATATCTGAAGTTAATTGCTTGCATTCATTTTAGATTCCCTTACCATTTATTTTAGTTTCCCATCATACCTCATTTAAAAAAAAAAAATCTTTTCAATCATCATTTATTTTAGATTTGCATTTACTTCTTTTAAAACTTTCCTCTTTTATTTTATTTGATTTTAATTTCAAACTTAAAAAAAAAAATTTCAGTTTCCTTATTTAATTATTACGAATTTAAGCTAAGGAGATTGAACGTCAGGTCCAAGACCTCATGGACAAGGGCTATATCCGTGAGAGCCTTAGTCCTTGTGCGGTTCCGGTCCTATTGGTCCAAAGAAGGACGGAACGTGGCGCATGTGCGTGGACTGCCGCGCCATCAACAACATCACCATCAAATATCGGTACCCTATTCCTAGACTTGATGATATGTTGGATGAACTAAGTGGTTCTGTTGTGTTTTCTAAGATTGATCTTAGGAGTGGGTACCACCAAGTTCGAATGAAGGAAGGCGACGAGTGGA